ATATATATATTATATGAAGGGCACAAGGGAAAAACCAGCGATGTCAGGTTTTTGCGGTTCCGAGAGACATTGTAATTGAAAAACAAACTTTAAAGACTTATAACTCTGTTTCTGCCTCAATGATCTCTCCGCTGCTTACATTGACTTCACGAATGACCTTTTGTGTTGACAATGAGAAATTTTCAGTCCTTGTGTATAGGTGATTCAACTGACAGCGCTGGTTTTTCCTTTGTAAGCTGTTGGCAAGGTCTTCTAGGAAGTCAATGAATTGTGGGTTATTTTACTCATTTGTGAATAGAAACAAAACTAAATGATTCAAGCAAGAAAATACCGTTTTGTAATATTTACAATTTTAGACAAATTTTATTTAATATTCATTTTTGGATGACTTTTTCCTCCAGCATGGGACAATTTGGAGAAAAGCTGTCGGGCCAGAACACCTTTAAGACCTTTATGTCTGCATATTTGGCAGCTTTGTGGTCAACGAGCTCTTATAGAAAGGTTTCAGGGGCTGGAGTCTTGCAGCGCTCTTCTTTTCTACCGGCTTCATAATGATTGCTGTGTGGAACGGACATTCCAGCTCTCTCTATACTGCGTTAGCTGGGGATGGGCCTGTGAGATGCAGATTTCAACCAGAGGTCGAGTGGGTATAAGGCAGGAGACACGGTAGTACGCTTTAAAGTTTTCTGACACATTTTGGAATACAGCTTATGTCATCCCCACTATCTGGAGTAGCGAGGGTTTCCGAAGGACTGTCTTGAATTTCTCCACCCAACTGGCTGGCATATCTACAGTGACCTTCTCATTCACCACTGTCATGTCTCTGTCACATTCCATGTAGATGTGGCCTCTCACTGGAAACGAGATTTTCACTTGTTCGTACCTTTCCTGGTGGACAACTTCATGACAGAGAAACCAGACCACCATCCAGTTCTTGTTCTGGCCTGCGCACGAGTTACATGAGCTGGCAGAATGTGTAGAAAGTAATGTAGCAGCATGCTGGCCACATTGTCTCCACACTTTTTGCCGACTAACTCGTAACGGTACAGGTGTACTGTTTCATCCCTTAGAAGGTAGATTTTTAAGGAAAAGAAAGATTGCTGCCAACGAATGTACACATTGTTTGCCGAGATGTTTGGGTTGCCCAAGTTCTTCGAAAAATCAAAGGTTAGCGTAACATGGGTGCCGATGAATGATTTTCCAGTTTAGCAGCGATAATACCATCAGTGCGGGGATTCGAGCCTCAGCTCAGTCCGACACTGTGTCCTTGGGAAAGGCACTATACATGGCTTTCTTATTTAGCTCGGTCCTTTCGGGGTAGACTTTAAACTCGGAGGTCCCGCCTCTTAAATGACCTAATAGTATTGACAGGGGCGTTAAGCCTATATCATTTCACCTTTATTCCCTGAACTACGAGTATGATCACTTATTGGTCACAAAGGGACGCAACAAAAAAAAAGTACGCTTGACATCGCTGGTGTTTCCGTTGTTAAGATCCTGACATCGCTGGTCCTTCCGTTGTGGACTATATTTTCTGACCCTCACAAAGACTGGCAGCGCCCATTTTCCCGTACGTGACTTAGGTGGACTGTAGCAGACCCCGCCAAGCATCATGCGAGGACAATAATCCAGAAAATGAAAATAGCTGACGTTGACATCGCTGGTTTTTCCCTTGTGCCCTTCACAATATATATATATATATATATCAGGGGCGGCTCGTGGGGCTAAAAAGTGGACGTGCACAATTAAGCCATGGCATGCAGAAGATAGTCAAGGGCATAGTAAATGAGACGGTGTATAGTTTTAGGATCTTTGGGTCGGTGAGGGAGGACCTCGTGCTTTTATTTTCATTCTTTTTACTTGTCGCTTTGGTTTCTAGTACTAAATATGTTTGTTAGCTAAACATCAGTTTTGTTCTTCGGGTATTGGAACTGAACACTCAAGTACATGTAATAATTTTCACCACTCCACTACAAAACCATTCAAAGGCACATAACTCGAAGAACGGTCCCGTTAACCTCCCTCCGGTTCACGATCACAGAGTCACTTAAAATAGTGGCAAGACAGACAATGAACCAATCACAATTCACTTGAGCACTCCGCTGGATTGCTCCGGGGTTCACATAATATTGGCAAAGAATAGCGTACGGTCTGTCGCGTTTAT